CTCATTCACTTCCTTGCCTAGCATCAAGTCTGTCCAATTATACTCACTAAAAAAATTTCTAAGGTCACCATAATGTCCTCTCCTGAAGTCTGGTTTTTCAACTGCTTCAACCTCCTTATTTTCTTCCAGCTTATAATGCATTGCATACTTTATTCCCAAAAAGACATGGTCACTTTTACCCAAGGGAGGAAGGTACTGAATGTCAAATATCTCTTCCTCCTTCCTGGTAAATATCAAATCTAGCATGGAGGGAACGTCCCCTTCCCTCATCCTCGTAGCTTGTTTAACATGTTGATACAAGAATGTTTCCAGGATGAGGTCTACAAATTTACAGGTCCAAAAATCTTCTGTTTTAGCTTCATATGCTTCCCAGTCTATGGATTTCAAGTTGAAGTCACCGACTATCAACAGTCGTGATCTATCGTTCTCCGCTCCCGCTATAATCTCTCTCATTATTGTTATAAGACCTTCACGTTTACTATCTAGCTCCTCCTTTGACCATGTGCTGCTTGGCGGTGGACTATATGCATTTATCATCATTAGTTTATCATCCTCATAGCAGATCTCTAGTGCTATTATGTCAACTTCTTGTGGATTGGCAGTCATTATTTCCTTCACCTTTAGGTGTTTTTACCAGCACAGCAACGCCACCGCCTTTCCTAATTTTTCTGTCCCGTCTCCAAATTGAGTAGCCCCTTGGGAATATGACCTCATTTAAAATTACATCTTCAAGTTTTGTCTCCGTGAGTGCAACAATGTCTGGTGTCTGCAGCTGTATTACATCACTTAACTCCAGTATCTTCGATCTCACTCCATCTATGTTGGTGTATGCAATCTTCAAGAACTTGTTCCCCCTCTCCTTATTCTTCACTCCCCCTCTCTCTATTGATTTTGTTGGTTTGCCTTTATGTACCACTTTACTGGTTTGCCTACCCCTATCACTTTGTAGAAAAAAGAATTTATTTCTTCTTCATTCCTGCTCTCATTTAAATGTTTTGCCTCGGCGAGGTTCAGTTTCAGCTTTTCTCTGTCTTCTTTTGAAAGATCTCGTCTTAACGACCACCCTTTCCCATCCTCATCCCTTTGCAATTTTCTAGCATTCCTTAGTACTTCTTCCATCTGTTTGGCACCGTTTAGGGTGATCCTCAAAGGTCGATCTTTCCCTTTTACGTACCTGCCTATTCTCCTGTAGTCGCACACATTCTCTCTGTTTGTAAGACCTTCCACGAGGCCAACAATTTTATCTACTACTTTAGCTTCTTCTACAGCTCTTTCTGACCTAGATGTTATCGCCTTTTCTTTGCAGCCAAAAATGATCAGGGACTTACTCCGATCAACTGTGTTTTGCACCAACTTCGGGTTAGATGCCAATTCTTTCCTCACTTCTAGCCTAATGTTTGTTTTATCTTGGTTGCTGCAGTGTTTGACTTCCTTTACTGCTTCTTCTATTTTTTCCTTCTCCTTGGCCACTTGTGCATAAGTGAGTTGCATATCTTTCTTGCACTGTTCTATTCCCTGTGTAACTTCCTCCATCTGTGCTGACAAAAGCTGTTTCTCCTGTTGAATTTCCTTGCCTAACCTATTGTAGTCATTTATGTTTAAATTTACTTTAACTTCTTCCAAAGCTATTTTTAAGAGTTTATTTTCTTCTTCCATGGCTTTGCAATTTGTTTCCAATTGATTCTTATCCTTGCGCAAGTCTTTCACTAAACCCTCAAGACATAAAACTTTGCTATTCAAATGGTCATTACTTTCTTTCAATTTACTAATTATTTCTACATGAGAGTTCACTATAGTATCTAAATTTACCAACTTGTTATGTAGACTACTAATATCAATGCTTTCTTCATTGAATCCCTCAAAATCAAGCTCTGTTTTGTTTTTCCCCTTGCCAGTGGCCATCTTGAATGTTCTTCTCTGCACTGTAAACACTAGGGCAACTTTTTCTCATCCGATTTTTCACTTCCCTTAGCACTTTCCTGTTATCTCACCTATTTTTCAAGAGCACTATACCTTTATGTTCTCTGGGACACCACTCACTACCATCAACCTGTACTACAATACTTAGGATTGTTGAAATATGCTGGAGCTCCTCTGCTGCAAGTGTTGACCCTAGGGGTGTCACCTTTTGAATGGAGTGGAGTGTGACGTTTGCTTATTTGCTTATTTCTTGGGTTTGGAAGGAGTTCTGCCTCTCTTTTCAGTTTTTAGTTGAAATTTTCTTACCATTTGGGGTTTTTGTTATAGCTACCTTTCTGGGTCCCTAACCCTGGTCGATGGCAGATATAGAAAAATCCCAACCACGGGTGTTTTCCAGGGCCATTGCTCCCTGAAACCTCTCTGAGGGGGCCAGGTTTTGGCTCATGGTAATGGTAGGTTGATCTCCATAGTCTAATGCTCCTGTCTAATATACAGTCTAATATATTTATGGTTGAGAGGCGGGACCAAAGAGCCAGAGCTCGACCCTCGCAAGCACAATTAGGTGAGTACAGTGTCACACATTAGCCCGATAGCTCCAGGGAGCCTCTGGTGCTTACCCAGAAAAGGGCATTTCATTTCATTCAACGCTGGCTTTTTGCAGGTACTGTACCTGTAATTTGATCCTCCTCTGGTTTCGCTGTGGGTGGACTTGCTTCAGTTCCTATTGTAGGACTGTGAGCATACCTCAGTTATGGATCCTGTCACTTTTGAATTTGGGTACATTTCTCTGTTACTGGTTAAGGTCCCAGACCCCACCTGATTTGTGGATAATCTCATTTCTGTGGGGGGTTGGGTGCACGTTCCACCATTCTTGAGTTCAGTATTTCAGTTGTGTGAGGTGAAGATTGTTGAATCAGGTTTTCCTGGCCCTCTTGCCCTTTGTAGCGTATAATGTCAACATTTTGTGCTGGCTCTGCCTCTGAAAGTGGGCTCTTGGCAACAGCTTGTGGATCTGCACTTACTCTCCATTTTATTGGTTGCTTTCAACTAAGGCTGCTGCTGGTGGTGATGGCAGAATTTCATGAGGTGTGTGTGGCCATTTTTAGGAGGCTGACTGGTTTCTTCCTTAAGTCTATCGGGCCTTTTTTTCCCTCCTGTTTCCTGAGGAGGATGTTTTTTTGTGTGCTATGGCTAGGATGTAGTTTCTGCCATTGAATTTGCTGTTCTTGTGGTGGGGTTTTGTTCTCTACGGCACCATGAAGCTACAATGCAGATACAGTGCCAAACTAGTAAATGCCATCAGTTATGAAGTTCTTTTAGCCCTACCGGGGACCACGAGCCACAACCTGGCCTCTAATGAAGTTCATTAGAGAGACTAATGATGCACTGTGATAAAATTGTCATGGAATTTTAAATCATGTCCGCCACCACCATGAATCCACCCACAATGTCAGCAAAACAAAACAGACAACTGATGGTTATAAAAAAATAATAAGACCTCAAAATCTCAAAAGAACTTCCCCCAAAATGTAAACAAACCTGGGCTTCTGGTGGGGCATTTCGGTTACAACTTTTGGGTTGTTTCCACGATGTTTACCAGACTGCCACAGGTCGTGGTTTCTTGCAGTTGACTTCTGGGGATCCACATCATGGCTTACCACGATGACTGGCTGGTTTGAGCTTTCAGCTAGACATCTTGTCTGCAGACTAGGTACCTGGTTTACCTAGGACTAGGTACCAGGGACCACAGTTGATGGGATTTGAGTTCCTCACCACCTGATGGAAGTCCCACTTGGTGATGTTGCAGATTTGGACTTGGTTGGGCATAGGCTTGGATGCCTGGTCTACTTCTCTTACCCTTTTTTCTTAGACTTTGGCTTGGTTGGATTCTTGTATTTGTTTCATGGTGGGGCATCTTTGTATTTCTCGGCAGCATTTCGAGCATCTGTGCAGCAGCCTGAACTTCCTGTGTGGTGTATCGGCTGGGTCAGGTTTGATTGTGGGGACCATACTGATTTCTCCAGGACAGGCCCTTCTGTTGTCACTGGGATTGATGGGTGCAGACCCAGGTGGCCCTTTCGCATCTATTTTGTCAAAAGGGCTGATGTGAATTATAGGTATGGAGCTATCTCAGCATTGCTAGCAACAGGGAGTCACAGAAGCCTGCATCTTCCCCGCAGAAATAGGCATTTCATTACGTTAAAAGCTGGGTTTTGGGCAAGATTTAATAGTGTGTGTATATTGGTGTCTATGACATCCTCAGTTCTCTTACTTTGAGGCAACAGGATTCTGGTCCTAGTCTCTGGTAGGCTATAAAAAATTCTTATATGCATGGTGAAATGATATTGCCCTCTGGTACCTACCAGTGCATAAACTGTTGGAAGGCACTGAGATGGGGAGGAAGCCACCCCAGAAGTGAGAAAAGATCATTCTGGAGGGACCAAATATTGGCTCCCTGAAGCTAGTTTGCAGAGGTAACTTTTTTTTTTTTTTTTTTTGTACGAGTTGTATCAACACTAAGAGTCTTGTACAGCCTACCAGGGACCAGAGCTAGATCCTGGTCCCTTTAAAGAGGCACAGTGATTTTACTACTTTAGTTTTGTGTAAGTTTTCTTGGGGAGGGTGATCACAATAATTCCCTGCTCCCTGTACCCCTGTGAGGGAGAACACGGCAAGTTCTGGCTGTGACACTCGGTAGGCCATTCAAGACTCCTAAGGCTGATGTGCCTCATGATAGGAGCTATCTCGGCAGACTAGCTTCAGGGAGGCACCGTGGCCCAACCGAAAAGAGGCATCTCGTTACTTTCGATGCTGGTTTTTTGGGAACTTAATCATTTTTATTTAATATGGTCTAAGCTATTGATTGACTCAGAGAATAATCAAATATAATGGAAAGACAATGATGAAGATGATAGAAGCAATAGTACAGTATTTTTAAAATTGATTTTATATTATGAAAATTTGTTAATCAGTGCAATTCTAAATTAGGAATGGGTAGGAATATTGCTAAACATAATCATGAATATTTATATTTTTGTTATAAAGCAAATGTATTTTAGCTTTGTTACTTGCTTTATCAGGTCACCCAATTGCGTATGATGACGATGATGATTCTGATGATGATAGCTCTGAAGATGAGTGGAGAGGTGAGTTGCATGGAGGATAATTTTGTTGTATTTGTTAACAAAGTGATTCACTAATTTTGTTGTGTAAAGAATTGTTTCAGTGTAGACTATCTCACTGTTTTAAGTATTTCTAATATGAAAGTACAGTAGGTTAAGGTGCTGGCCTTAGTCACTTTAGGTAAGCTATTGTAAGTGAACACTTACAATGTCTGTTTCATATCCTTAACCCTTACACTGCTCAGGGGTCCTTTGGACATTTACACCCCTGTGCGCAAGAAAAAAAAAAATTCAAAAAAATTTTTTCGTCTTCTAAACATGTTAATTTGTGTCCCCTGAGCACGGAAAAAATAAAAAAAAAATCGTAGGTGACATATTTTGGGCGCAATTGACCGAGGAAGTCTGGCAAAAAGTGGGCGTTGACAGAGCGGTCGTCAGACCCGGTCAGCGTCACCCGCGTTGACAGATGGGAGTTGCCACAAAGATATTATTACCTAATTGTTTCAATGTCTCCGATTGATTTTTTTTTAGTTTTTTTGCAGTAATATTATTCAATAGTGTGTATTGTAATATATTTATATAATAAAAGTCGTTAATAATCGCTATACTCAAAAGTATGATGTGCATATTAGTGATTCAATTATTATGTTTATAAAACTATAAACAAATAGTTTTGCTGCTATTACACTCTATACACAGGTTATATATAAGTATTGGCATGTTTTGGTCACCATAACGAACCACTAAGTTGGTATTGAGAGTCGAAAAGCAACGAGGAGTTACCGCGACACACCAGCCAGCCACTCGCTGCCACTCCCTCAACACACGCACTAAACTCTCTCCCCCAACAATACCATTTGTGGTGTTATTACACTATATACAGACGTTATATATAAGTATGTATATATTTTGTTCACCACAACTGTACAGCTAAGCTGATATAGTTAGTTCAGGCACTAAGAGTCGTCGCTATACACAGATGGCGGCTGGCGGCTCCCTCACTCTTTCAAGGTCACACGCACTAAACTTTCTCCCCCAACAATACCTTTTGCAGTGTTATTACCCTATATACACATATTATATATAAATATCTACATGTTTTATGCACCGTAACTGTACACCTAAGCTTGTAGTGCGCCCAAAGAGCATAGTGGCCACCCTCTAAACAGCTAGACAAATCATGCAGACGACGTCACCTCCGTCACCCATATGGCTCCTCCCAGCATAATCCTTTTGCTGTTATTACACTAATACACACATTATATATAAGTATCTACATTTGTGTTCACCATAGAGAACCATTGACCTGGTATGGTGAATGCAAACAATAACAGCTAGCCACACAGTCAGTAAACGATGCTGTCTCCCTCCGTCTCTCAGCATCACTCCTCCCACAGCGCTAATTATTACAACAATCCTGCTATTATCACAACCCTGGTTATTTATATCACAGTCATTGGTCATCTGTAATATTGTCATCGCTAAATAATAACAATTATATATTTATTTTGACATTTTTCGGCGATGCTGTGGTCACAAGCTGAACATCAATGCTGTTCGCTCATGCTGCGTGCGCCGGCCTTGGTTGCTCCAACAGTACTGTGCCTCTCACACCTGAGAATATTGCCCACGATTTTTTTTTAAAATGGCATCTGTTTACAAGAGCCCTGAGGAAGCTACTGTGAACCCCGTGTAGCCGCGGGCCATTTGAATCAGGCCTGGCACCCTATGGCGTATATATACGCCATGCGCACCATGGGACATGTTACTCAGGGCGTATATATACGCCATGCGCAGTTTAAGGGTTAACACAGAGAGCTTTTATATCCATATTTGCATCATACATGTAAAACCCAGACAAAATTTACAAAAAATCTTAACACTTTCGCGCCTCGGGCATGCTCGCCGCCAACTTAGTCACGCCTTCGGTGACCGCGCGGCGACACCGAAATGTGTATACGCGTTTCAGTTTTCTCACCTTAATTATCATGCTACGTCATTCGTTTTGGTATCATTGTGTTCGCAATAGAATTCCCTACAGGTGTATATGCGTGTACTAGTACTGTAATGTCCAAAAGCCCAGCGTGACTCCCCGCAGCAAAGCCTAAAGTTACCCGTGAACGAGCACCAGTTTGCACACCTCAGCCTAATGTGTATACTCCTACAGTTTGATAACATCAATTTTCGTGTTACGTCTTTCATTTTGGTATCAAATTGTTTGCAATATAAATTATCACTTCAATAGTGATAATTTAGAGTCGGAAACAGGTGATTATAAGGTTTCTAAGAGTGAGGAAAGTGATGATAGTGAAGAGGACAGTGGACCACTTGCCCCGCCATCTTGTACTTGAAAGCGTACAAGTCCTGTGCTCAATACCACACAGCCAGATCCTGCTAGTACAGTACCTGGTCCACCAACAACAGTCCACTAATTGTTGATGATTTCACTGGAATAGCAGGCCTAACCATTCCGTCACCCACTACAGCACTACAATTTATTCAACTATTTCTGGCTCGAATGTTGATTGAATTTTTCACCTATGAAACTAACCTGTATGCCCCACAAATATTGCAGCATGCTACTGCGAGTGTCAGGAGGATGTGGGTGCCAGTCACTGTTAAGGAAATGGCAAGATATATAGGTCTGTGCATGTTGATGGGGGTTCCCAAGCTACCAACCATGAGAATGTATTGGCAGACAAACAGGCTCTGGCAAGCCCGTTTCTTCAATACTTTTATGACGTCGAAACATTTTCAGCATATTGGCCAGTTTTTTCATATGTATAATAACAATTCCATTCCCCTAAACGATAAAGACAGGTTGGTAAAAGTTCGAGCAGTGATGGAATATCTGACAAAGAAATTTGCAAAACTCTACATTCCACAGAAACAAGTGAGTTTGGACGAAGGCACGATAGCATGGCGTGGCCGGTTATCTTTCAAGGTATATAATCCAAGAAAACCTGAAAAATATGAAGTCAAACTGTACATGCTTGCAGAATCAACATCTGGCTACATATATGACTTTGAAGTCTATTGTGGAATCGGGAAAACAGTAATGGAGATGGTCACGAGCTTGCTTGAGCCACTAATGGACAAGGGTTATCATCTTTACATGGATAACTATTATAACTCAGTCAGCCTCACAGAAAAGTTACATGAACGTCAGGTTTACACATGTGGCATCATAAGATTGCAACGTGGCGATGTAGTGTTATCAAACGATAATCTCCTTTCTGTGTTTTTCGGGTGTACCGGGTGTAAAGGGTGTTGGAATGGGTGGACTCTTAACGGGTAACGTTTTGGCGAATTTCGGTGTTGTTGCAGGTAGGGCGCGCACATATTTTGGACTTAATATACATATGTCCTTGTAGGGAATTTTATTGCGATCACATTGTTACCAAATTGAATGTGGTAGAACATGTTTTGACTTGACAAACATGAAATGAGCAGCACCATATCCGCACTGTTTGGTGCGCACAGCTAACGAGCGACCTAGTTTTTTATTTGGTGCCAGTCTCACTCCTGCTTTAGTGACAGTTTATACATATGTTCCTCTAGAACATTCTATTGTGAACACATTGATACCAAAATGAAACACGTACATTGAAAATTAAGGTCAGAACACTGAAAAGAATATACACTTTTCAGTGTTGCCACTTGATCGCCCGAAACGCCGGGTGCACAAAGGGAAAGTTTTATGCCCAACTGCCGGGGGTGCGAAAGTGTTAACATTAACAAGATTTTTTTTCTGGAGGGAGGGGGAGCCCCTTTGGTTTACCGAAGCTATCCAGGCTGATATGAATGTATTAGACCCTGGCATCAGTCAAAGCGATCGGAGTTCTTAGGCCTACCGGGAACCACGAGCCAGAACCTGTTCCCCTCAGAGAGGCACTAGGAGCAATGGCCTATAGAAACCTCCATGTGATTGGAAGAATTCTGTGTCTGCCATTAACTGGGTCAGGTACCCAGAAAGGTAGGTACCCCAAAACAAACCCTATCTGGTTAAAATATTGCTACTAAAAGCTGAACTGTTGAACAGAACTCCCCCAAATGAAAAACGAGCAAACGAGCCTGACGTCACAACCGTCACTGCTCCGCTGTCTGCGCAGCTCCCCCGCTCCCTGAGAGGGGAGAGGAGGAGTCCCAGACTGAGACTCTGGCTCCAGCTTTGTTTCGTTGCTGTGCCTTGTGGTGTGGTTCTGTCTATGGTGGTGATCGAGCCAGGAGTAATTTCACCTGCTCGGGCTGCATGCACCTAGGGTTACCTTCCCTAGGTGCCCCGTAAGTAATGCCCTTGTGGTTAGGGGGTTATCTTCCACAAGTTGCTTGGGGTACTGCCTCCGCTGAGGTCTTCTACTGCTCGGTAATTGTCAGCCCTTGGAGTCAGCTGGGCATTTCGTGTGCCTCTGTTTGCCTCTGGGTAGGTGGTAGTTTCATCACTGGTGGGGGCACAAGGTACTGTGCAGCTGTTCTTAACCTGATATAGCGGCCTGCTCTGTTTTCCCTGGGTACGTTATACTCGTATTTTTTTTTTTTTTTTTCTGGCCTGGAAGAGAGTCTGCCCTTGGTGTTGTTGCCACTTACACATATTGTATTCTTGGTGGTCCTCCACTAGGTCCCCGTGTGTGTTTATACACGGCCTGGGGGTTCAGCTTTTAGCAGTTTGTTTGGTAATTTGGGGTGCCAGTTAGCAGTACCTTGCCTGGGCTTCCCTTAGCAGAGCATCTAAGGGCCCTGGAAAACCCCGCTGGGACTCAGTGGTCCGATGGAAGCGTCCCCTGTATCCCGTCTCGCTTCGTGCGAGTTTGAAGGTTGCTCTGTCCCCTTGTCTCAGGGTGACAATCACCTGTTTTGGCTCCGTCATGCTGCCTGTTGAGTCAGTGACACCTTCGACCCAGAGTCCTATGAATGTAGTTGCTTGTTCTCCAGATCACCCTGTCCACCGATATTGATCTTAAGGGGCAGGCAGCTTTGGTGTTGCATGCATGTTATAGGTTGCTGCAGCATGCTAGGTTGGTTGCTCACCCGGATGCCCTGAGACTGCCCCGTTTTGGTTATAGGGACCCGGACTTGGGGGTGTTAGTTGCTTCAGTTTTGGTTTTGTCCCCGCCCCCAAATCCTTCCCCTGCTGTTTTTCGTCCTGTTCCTCTCCCTTTCCCTGCTTTCGGCTCCAGAGTGTCTGAGGGTTTCGAAGTTGGGGCAGGGTTTAGTTGGTGGTGAGACTCGGGCAGTTTTGGGAAATGCCCCCTTCTGATGTGACGACGAAGGCATTTGACCCCGATCCCCCAGTCGTCCTTTGCAGATGACACAAAAATCAGCATGAAAATTACCTCTGCTGAAGACATTGAAAAACTACAAGCAGATGTCAACAAAGTTTTTGATTGGGCAGCAGAAAATAACATGATGTTTAACAGTGATAAATTTCAGGTACTCAGGTACGGCAAAAATGAGGATCTGAAACATAATACAGGGTACAAAACACAATCGAATCTTCCCATAGTAGAAAAACAGCATGTCAAGGATTTGGGAATAATGATGTCCGACGATCTAACGTTTAGGGAGCATAACCAAGCAAATATCGCGTCAGCCAGAAAAATGATCGGATGGATTACGAGAACTTTCAAATCCAGGGATCCCATTACAATGGTTGTACTCTTCAAGTCACTTGTGCTGTCCCGTCTCGAGTACTGCTCAGTACTCACTTCCCCCTTCAGAGCAGGAGAGATTGCTGAAATAGAGGGAATACAGAGAACATATACGGCACGCATAGACGAGATAAAACACCTAAATTATTGGGATCGTCTCAAAGCTATCCAAATGTACTCTCTAGAAAGGAGACGAGAGAGATACCAAATAATATACACATGGAAAATACTGGAGGGTCAGGTCCCAAATCTACACAGTAAAATAACAACGTACTGGAGTGAACGATATGGAAGAAAATGCAAGATTGAACCTGTGAAGAGCAGAGGTGCCATAGGCACAATCAGAGAGCACTGTATAAACATCAGGGGTCCACGGTTGTTCAACGTCCTCCCAGCGAGCATAAGAAATATTGCCGGAACAACCGTGGACATCTTCAAGAGAAAACTGGACGGTTTTCTAAGAGAAGTTCCGGATCAGCCGGGCTGTGGTGGGTACGTGGCCCTGCGGGCCGCTCCAAGCAACAGCCTGGTGGACCAAACTCTCACAAGTCGAGCCTGGCCTCGGGCCGGGCTTGGGGAGTAGAAGAACTCCCAGAACCCCATCAACCAGGTACTTCTGGGGTCTGACCAGTGGGCCCCCTTCGTTTCAGTTTTTCCAGCGGCTTCTGCCTCTTCTTTTGAGGCAGGGGGTTTGGAGGACGACTCAGCCCCAGGTCCTGATGTGGAGGTTCCTGGGGGCAGGGCAGGGGTTGACTTGGGGGGGGGGGGTTGGACCCTGTTTGCCCCCGTTTGACGTCTGGGTTTTGGTACCCTCTGAGCGGGTCTCATTGTTGCAGGGAGTGAGGTTTTCTTATCCCCACGCTCCATGTATGAGTTTATATGGTGTCGACCCCTTCCCAGGAACCCGGTTCCGGGTTCCCCTGGGTATTTCGGTTCCTCCTTTTCTGAGGTTTTTGGCCTCCCTCATCCTTGCCTCAAGAGGTGCAGAAGGCCATTATGGCTTACCTCCTGCACAACCCAGGTTATGCCAGATTATGCCACTACTCTGAGAGAGCTCTCTCAACAACAGAGGCCCGAGACTGTTCAACACTTCCACTATACATAAGGAGCATAACTGGCCGACCCCTCACAGTGTTTGAGAGAACTCGATAATTACCTCTAAAAGATACCTGATCAACCAGGCTGTGATTCATACGTCAGGCTGCAAGCAGCCACATCCAACAGCTTGGTTGACCGGTTCGGCAATAAGGAGGCCTGGTCAACGACCGGGCCGCGGGAATGCTAAGCCCAGAAAACACCTCAAGGTTACACCTCGATAATGGATCCTGCCTTTTTTGAGTTCGGTTCTCCTTTTCCTTACTGGGTCCGTTACGACGTTCTGGAGTTGTCTTGGTTAGCAGACTGTCCTACCTTTTCGTTGGGGATGTGGCATACGTTCTGTCGGTCCCGCACGCTTGAGTGGTGAGTGGCCCTTATAGTTGTACAAGTTTACCAGGGAGGGCAAGTTTGAGCGCCTCAATGCGTGTTTGTTCGCCCCTGCCCTTCCTTGGGATGTCGGCCTTGTTCCGGGGAGCCTCGGGGAAAATAGCGTTTCGTTACATTCAACTTTTTTTTCCACACTATTCCACATTCCAAGAAATTCTATTCTGACTACCTAAATGTTTGTAATAATTCCTATAATTGTTAATGACACCTATAATCTATTCACTAACTATTAATGACATCCTACAGTATATCATCTATATGTTCATATCAACGAACCATCTTAATAAACTCCTTTTGATCTTTCCATTCAGAAAATTCTAGAATGCAACTCTTATGTAATTGAAGCTTATAGTGTATGAGAACTAATGTTGTTTTTTCTCTGCAGTTTTATGCCGCAATGGAGACGCTCGAAACCACCTTACAAAATCTAATGCAGACTTAACGGATGCTGAGAAGGAGAAGAAGAAAGCTGAAAAAAGAAGAGCGAAAAAGAAAAGAAGGAAAGAAAAGAAAAAATTAGAAAAATTAGAAAATCAGATATTTAATCAAAATTCCAATAATAGCAATAGTAAAAGGTGAGCAAGAAGTTATTGACACGTTATTTGCACTCTGTACAAACACATGAATACAGTACTTGTACATCTATTGTTGCTTTACATGTGGTTAGTTATCATTTTTGTTTTTTCCTAAGAGTAGTTATATAATGGAGCTACTTTTGTGATGACCTGTGTTCCCTATAATTTTTTGTCATATGACTCTTTTGATACTTCTGATAGCTTTGGCATCTTCCTTCTTACTTAAATTGTTCCAACTTACTACAATTCTGTTTACAAAAAGAGAAGTTTGTTGTTCATGGCACTTTTATTTTCATAGCTTGAAACTAGAGCCTGTAGTTTGAGGCCCTATCATGTCATCATATGATCATCATCAAGATAGGTTGATCTTGATGAACCTATCTATCAACCTATCTTCAAAAGAGGTGATCATATCGCCTCTTTTCCTTCTACCTTCCAGCTGCTAAGTGTAGTGTAAGCTCCTCTCGCAACACTTTTGATGTGATCCTCTAGTGACAGTTAATTATCCAGAACCATCTTTAGAGATCTCTATTTGTTAGAATTCTTTAATATCTTTTCACATAATTTATAGGTTGTATAGCTTGTTTTCCACTGTTCCACTTTCCAATACATGACGCATTTCAGCCTATCTTCCAAAATGATAGTACAGTACTTAAAGCAACTATTTGGTCAAGTGTACGAAAATTGGGTGTTGGACCCCAAAAAGTTTGTTTTATACTTTTGGATTGTCACAAATGGCATGCTTAAAAATGGAATGGTTAAGAATTAAACCCAACCTGTCCAAGGCCTAAATAACCAGTCCTAGGTTTAATATATGATATTTTAGGACTAATTTAGTGCATATATGTGCTATACTATGCCTTGGAAAGTTAGGTTCTGTGGGGAGCCCCTTGCCTCCCTGGAGCTATCAAGCTAATATGCGATACATTAGACCAGGGCATTAGTCTATGGAGTTCGACCTACTGGGGACTACGAGCCAGAACCTAGCCCCCCCCCCCCCCCTCAGAGAGGCACAGGGAGCAATGGCCCCTGGAAACACCTCTGTGGCTTGGGGGTTTTCCTTATCTGCCATTGACTGGGGTTAGGCACCCAGAAAGGTAGGCATAATAAAACAGACCCCCCTCCCTCTCGTGGTAAGAAAAGTTTAACCGAAGATAGGCAGAACTTTCAATAGCACTGTTTGGCCTTGGGTAGGAAGTGGTATCTTGGCTGGTAGGGGCACAAGGTTCTGTGCAACTTGTCTCCCATTATACACAGCGGCCAGTTTTGTTCCTCCTGGGGACATTGTGCTTTTGCAGGATTTTCTTTTTCTTTTGTTTGTTTTGCCTGGTGAGGGTCTGCCCCTCGGTTGTTATCCACCCTCTGTTATTCTGGTGGTTCCCCGCTAGGCCCCCTGTGATTGTACATGTCGCAGGGGTTTAGCTTTAGTTGTTTTCTCAGTGGTTTGGGCCAAACAGTTAGCAGTACCTTGCCTATGCTTCTTTTAGCAGTCAGCCTAAGGGCCTTGGAAGATCCCAGTGGGGCTCTTTGGACCCATGGATTCACTGAACTCCACCTCACCGAGTGCGAGTTTGAAGGTTGCTCTGTCCCTTTGCTTCCAGGTGACAATCACCGTTTTTGCCTTTGTCATGCTGCCTTGTTGGGTCAATGACACCTTGACCCAGAGCCTTGCGAGTGGTATTCCTTGCTTGTGTTCCAATTCACCCAGTCTCCTGTTCTTGATCTTGGGTCCAGGCACCTTCGGCATTCAATGCAAGGTATAGGTTGCCTGGCCGTATGCCCCGGGGCTGCCTCGTTTTGGTATCGGTCTTTGTTTGCCGTTCTCCTCTCCTTTGCTTCCAGCTCCCTGATGCTTGCGGGGTTCAGGGTCAGGGTGGGGTTTCGTTAGTGAGAGACTCGGCTGCTTCGAGGGCTGCCCTGTAAGTACTACCCTAGAGTTCTATGGTTACCTTCCATACAGCCTTCGGGAACTCCACTTCCGTAGGGGTTCTTGCTGCTCAAAAACCGCCCTTGGGGCCATCTGGGGTTTCGTGGCCTTTGTTTGGCTTTGAGTAGGAAGTGGTGGTGGTGTTAGTTGGGGTGCAAGGTGCTGCGCTTCTCGCTTACCTGCACGGCGGCCATGTTCCTGTTCCTTCTGGGGGTGTTGCACTCTTGCAGGGCTGTTTTCTTTTTGTTTTTCTTGCCAGGAGGGTGTCTGCCTTGTTTGGCTATTAGTCCATATACGGTATATTGGTGACCGTCAAAGCTTTTGGGTTTAACTGGCTAGCAGTGCCTTGCCTGGGCTTCCTGTAGAAGACACCCCTACAAGGCCCCTGGAAACCCCCGTCAGGGTTAGGTTGACCGATGGATGTGTCCTCTTAAGTTCCACCTCGCCTTGTGCGAGTTTGAAGGTTGTTCTGTGCCCTTGTCTCTGGGTGACAGTCACCTGTTTTGTCACGCTGCCTGTTGGGTCAACAACACCTTTGACCCGGAGTCTTGCGAGACTTGTTCTCTGCTCGTGCTCCAGTTTACCCATTCTATTGTCACTGAGGTTCAGGTTCAGGCGACATCCGTGTTGCATGCCTGGTATATGTTGCTGCAATGCACTAGGTTGGTTGCGCGCTCAGATGCCCTGGGGCTGCCCCATTTTGGTTATAGGGACCCGGACTTAGGGGCGTTAGTCGCTTCGACTTTGGTTCCGTCCACACCCGCAAGTCCTGCCCAGATTGGCGTTGTTCGCCCTGCTCCCGGCTCCCAAATGTTTGAGAGTTTCGGAGTTGTGGCAGGGGTTTAGTTGGTCATGAGACTCGGGCTGCTTCGGGGGCTGCACCAGTCGAGTCAGAGACAGAGGCATTCAAGCTCGCTCCTTCTGCTGAAGCTTCTGGGTTCTACCAGCAGACCTCTTTCTTTGCTGCCCTTCCCCTGAACTCTGCCTTTTCTTCTGGGGTAGAGGGTGTGGAAGATGGTTCTGTGCGATGGGGGGAGTCTCGCACTGTTTGCTCCCGCATACTCCCATGATTTGTGGGCATTTCAGGTCGTGTTCCTACGGCCTGTGATAGCGTTGGGTGGCTTCTCCTCCTCCTTCAGGAGGGTTTGGGGCTGGCGGGGTATACTTCTTTCGGTTGTAACTCTTTGCCGTTATCTGCGCACAATGGCTTCTGTGGCTGGGGACACGCTTTGGGTTGATCTGGTTTCCCTCATTCCCTGTTCCAGGGCTTGGGTCTCCCAGGTCATCCACAGGGTTATTAAGTCTAGCCAACTAGGGATGGTTGGCTAAACTTAATAGCCAACCATCCCTTGGTTGGCTATTACCAAGTAATAGGTCTACCCTTGTGCCCATAACGTTCATAAGTTTGCTGTTTTGGTTGCTGGGTTCGGCAACATGTCTTGGGCTGACATTCAGGTGTGGGGATTTTGGAGGTCGAATAGGATCCTGGCCGTCTGTTATCTGGTCAGTATTTCTGGTCCTGGTCGTTTGTGTGTGGCTTTGGGTCGCAGGGTGCAGCCAGTTGTCTTGCCTTAGAGTTGATGTGCGTGTGGTGGCTGCCTCCCGGGTAAGTCCCTCTTTTACTTGTCTTTGGTTAGGTAGCTCCAGGAAGTCGAAGGGGCTCTCCACAGAAATCCTGCGTTTATTATAGTGAAATGCCATTTTCTGGGTGAGCCTGGAGGCTGTCTTGCACCCCTCCTCCCTCCGGTCGGCAGTTTTCGTTTTTTATGCTCAGCCTCTGAACTGAAGTGTAAGTAGCTGGCACTGGGGGTGGCGGGGTCCAGGGCTCCTCCCTCCCCCTCCCAGGAAGGGGAGGGCTGTGCGGACAAGCGGCGCAGCAGTGGTGTGTGACTTGCTTGTTTCTTTAAGTTTTGGGGAATTCTGTCTGTCTGTTTGGTCTTTGGTTGCATTTTCTTACCAAGTAGGGGGTCTGTTTTATTGTGCCTACCTTTCTGGGTGCCTAACCCCAGTCAATGGCTGATATTAAATGCTCCCAAACACTTGGAGGTTTCCATAGGTTATTGGTCCCTGTGCCTCTCTGAGGGGGCCAAGTTCTGGCTCGTGGTCCCCGTTAGGCTGAACTCCTTTGAGTGATACCCAAGACTAATATAGCATATATCAGTCCGATAGTTCCAAGGAGCTTCCGGGCTCACCCAGAAAATGGCGTTTCATTACATTCAACGCTGGGTTTTTTATCAATATCTCAGACCATTACTGCATTATTTTATTGATGTTGTATATCTACTTGTTCATCAGGGAAGACGATTCTGGATCCAATGACGACGACGACGATGATGACGATGAAGAGGAAGGGCAGGGTTTGGATCCTAATTCAGCATTTGTTGCAACTGCAGCAGGTAAAAAAATAGGACTTGGCGCTACATCTAAAAATGAAGATCGACGGAAATCGGCTCTGAGTAAAGGAGGAAGTCATGAGGAAGACGATGGTATTTCTGCAAGTAAGGACAAGACTTCATATATGTATTGTACTATATAATTTATTGTGTTGACTCAATTTGGAATTCTTGGTACAGTATTTGTTCTTGAATTTGACTTTTAATCATGCAGTTTCTGGAGATTCTCAGCTTTGACTAGCTGAAACCCTGTAGTTTGACGGTTATCTTCCCTTGCATGCTATTTAGCGAGGAGAGTCTCAAGATAGGAATCTTCTCTTGAGGTATTTTTTCTCACCCATTTATACCTGGCATACTAATTATTCTCTCAACATTCACATTTTACAGTACAATACAGACCTGTTTCATCACCATTATAGATTTGATATCGATTGTTAGAAAAAATGTATGTTCTTAATTTTTTGTAATGGCTCAACGTTATATCTGCATTCAATTTTCACTGCAAATTTTGTTCTTGGTGATTGTGCCTCCTTAAATTGGCAATCCAACTATCATTTGCTCTGAAGTCTGAAGCTGTGTTACCTTATGGCCTAAAGGACATAAGGTAACACAGCTTGTGGCAAAGATACGTGTGACGTCTTGACGTGGTGACAGTATTGGAATAATTCTCATCCTAGATACTTCCACCGTTTCATGGAGTTCACTGTCCATGTCACTTAACATCATAGCCTTGTGAATAGTCATTATCACTGTTAGAATCATCTGTCAGTATCATCGTCCAATTCTAGCAGTTTCTTGTTAATTTCTTCATATTTAAGTGGTTCTGTAGTGTGTGTCACATGGCGGCTCTGTATGCTGGACAGACATGTGTTACTCATTGTTACTTTGTTCAAAGTGAGGTCTTCCTGCCAAGGAGTGGGCACCCACAACATTTTTCAACATTGTGGATGTTTACTTGAAACCAGAGGACACGGATATGGAACTCTGTTTTCTGCACTCGACATAAAATCATCCCTGGTTGATGTGTTCAGTTGAAGGGTTAAGGCACTGCTGTACCAGTAATTACCTAAGTGTAGTTAAAGGATGAGAGCTATGGTGGTGTCCTGCCTTCTAAGAACTCTGTCATATAATGCTTTAAAACTACTGAGGATTTTGGTCTCCACCACCTTCCCACTTGAATTTGTTATGGAGTTCAGCTTGTGTTTTTCAATAGGAGAACTATTGAAATTGCTTGCAGGTAACTGTCTACAGGTAAGTATTTTCTTGGTTTAGCTAAATATTTTTATAACATTAAAGTTTTTGATACAGTACTTTCTTATCTTTTCTTAGGCATCGACCCAGTGGTGCTACAATCCCGCCAGTTGGCCATCCGAGGCAATGAGGCGGCCAATGTAGGCCAATATTCTGTAGCTGTTCGCCTTTTTTCTGATGCCATCCGTCTGGATCCTAATGATCACCGCTTCTTTGGCAACAGATCCTATTGCTATGATCAGCTAGGACAGCATGAAAAGTACGTTTAATGTGGATTTTGCTTATGTCAACAATCGTGTTTCTGGTGACCACCCAGCTTCCCCTCTCCAAGTGAACCAAGCCATGTGCAGCTGGTGCTGTGCTGAACTAGAATGTTAATAGTACTCTACACTGGACACTCACAAACTCAAATCTTTGGGTAATTTGGCCAAAATCACAACTCGGTCATGCTATTGGTTTACTTGAATGGCATCCACATTACAGTGCTTAGTGGCCAAGTTACTTAATTATGTGTTGTCTTATGTTTACAAATAAATTAAAACAAAGGTTTAATAACATACAATTAGTCATTATTGTTTATAGTCATTATTGTTAAGATATCATGATATAATTCAGTGATACTTTGTGTGAGAGGCCAAGGAAATGTTATTACCTAAGTGCAGTTGCAGGATGAGAACTACATTCATGATGGCCCATCTTCCCAGTACTGTTATATGATGCTATAAAACTACTGATGGTTTTGGCCTCCACCATGTTCTCTTGTTCCAACCATCTACCCCTCTGTTTGCAAAAGGGAACTTTCTAAAAAAAAATTCTGGGGGGAGCCCCTACGGCTCACCGGAGCTATCCAGGCTGATATGCTGATGTCAGACTTTGACATCAGTCATGTGTATGGAGTTTTGTGGGCCTACTGGGGACCATGGCCAGAACCTGGTCCCCTCAGAGAGGTAAAGGGAGCAATGGCCTATAGAAGCCCCAGTGTGGTTGGCAGCATAGTATGTCTGCCATCGACCGGGTCATGCACCCAGAATGGTAAGTATCCCAAAACAACCCCCTATTCTGGTGAAAATATTGCTACCAAAAGCTGAACAAGTGAATAGAACTCCCCAAACAAAAACGAGCAAACTAGTATGACGTCACCCGTTGCTCCCCCCCCCCCTCCTCGGGAGGGGGAAGGGGGAACTGGATAAGCACCTCCAAAGGAGACCTGATCAACCAGGCTGTGACTCATACGTCAGGCTGCGAGCAGCCACGTCTAACAGCCTGGTTGATCAGTCCAGCAACCAGGAGGCCTGGTCGACGACCGGGCCGCAGGGACACTAAGCCCCGGAAGCACCTCAAGGTAGCCTCAAGGTAGGTAGGTACCCCAGACCTACCGCGCCGGCGATCCACACCCCAGTTCTTGAGGTAGATGCTATAGGCAGCGGTTGTGTGCTCTGGCTCCAGACTTTTACGACACTGTGCCTTGTGTGTGGCAGCTGTACTCCAGGGGTGCGAGTGCCAGGAGTTAATCTTCAGTACTCGGGCTGCATGTGCCTAGGATTCCCTTCCCTAAGTGCCCTGTTTCCACAGGGCACTTAGGGAGTACTTACCTGGAGGTAAGTACTGCCCATGGAGCTTGGGGTTTCCTTCCGCAGGTTCTTTGGGATCTGCCACTGTGGGTCTGTTTAACTGCTCGGTTTTTCAGCCACCCTTTGGGTACTTGGGTGTTTAGTCTCCCTGGTTTACATTAGGGTAGGAGGCAGTTTTGCACTGGTAAGGGGCGCAGGGTGCTGTGCAGCTTGTCACCAATCACAGCAGTCGGCTTTGTTCCTTGGGGTATGTTGTCCTCTTGCGGTGTTTTGTTTTTCTTTTTGTTTTTGCCTTGGTAGTTCTGCCCTTCTTGCCACTGGTGTTTGGCCTCATCCTGATACTTGGTGGAGCCCTTGGTGGTGCCTCACGGGGACCTTTTGCTAGGTCCCTGTGAGCATACACGTCCCTGGGGTTCAGCTGTAGACTGTTTGTTTGGTAGTTTTGGGCGCCGGTTAGAAGTACCCTGCCTGGGTTAACCTGAGCACAAGTCCTCTTATAGTAAATGCTCAGGACCCTGGGAAGCCCCTAGAGCACGCGTGGGTCTGATGGATGCGACCCCAGAGTACCCCCTCGTTTCATGCAAGTTTGAGGGTTGTTCGGTCCCCTTGTCTCAGGGCGACCCTCACGGTTTTTGCCTCCATCACGCTGCCTGTTGGGTCGGTGACACTTTTGACCCTGAGTCCTGTGAATTTTGCTGCTTGCTGGTGACTCAATTCACCCAATCTGCGAATGATCATCTTCGGGCACAGGCTGCGCAGGCATTGCATTCAAGGTTTCGCTTGTTGCAATGCGCTTGGTTGGCTGCTCACCCAGATGCCCCGCAGCTGCCCCGTTTTGCTTATAGGGACCCAGACTTGGGGTGGGGATTACCTCAACCCTGGTTCAGTCCGCACCTCCTGTTGTTCATTCTGGTCCCCCTCCCCTGCTTCCGACCCCGAAACATCTGAGGGTTTCGGAATCTGGGCAGGGTTTAGTTGGTCTAGAGACTCGGGCAGCCTCGGGGGACCAGTGTGGCGAGGGAGGCATTCGAGTCTAGTCCCCCGGCCGAAACCTCTGAGTCTGACCAGTGGGGCCCCCTTCTGTCCAGCTTCTACGGCTGCGCCGGCCTTGCCTAGTGGAGTCGGTGCTTGAGGGGAAGACTCGGCCCCGGGTCCTGCGGAGGACTTTGGGGCTGGGGAGGGGCTGACTTGGGGGCCTTGGGCCCCGCTGGACCCGGCCTGGGTTTTTCTGCCTTCTGAGCGGGGACTTACCGTTACAAGGGGGTGAGGTTTTCTTCCCCCCCCCCCCCCCCCCCTCTGTGTATGAGTTGGACTTGGTTTCTGCCCCTCCCCTGGTTCGGTTCTGTGTTTCCCCAGGTGCTTCGGTTCCGTCTTTCCGGAGTTTTTGGCTTATCGCATCCAACCTGCTGCGGGGCGGGCGGCCCTTGCGGCAAACCACCTGCGTGACCCGGATTATGCCTCGGCAATGGATCCCTCGGTTTTCAGGTTTGGGACTTCGTTCCCTTCCTGGTTCCTTTACGAGGTTTCGGAGTCGTCCTGGCTGGCGGACAGTCCTGTCTTTACCTTGGAGGCCTGGCACTCCTGCGGTTCCCGCACGCTTGAGTGGCAGGAGGCTTTGACGGTGCTGGAGGTTTTCCTGGGGGGGGGGGACCTAGAGCACCTCGATGAGTGCTTGTTTGCTCCTGCCTTTCCCTGGGATGTTGGTGTCGTTCAGCTTCAAGTGCAGATTCCCTCCCTTTCAGCGGCGCAGGTGGCTGAGGACTTGCGTGCCCGGGGCCTTTTGGCTTTGGCATTGCGTTTCTTTTCTCTCCTCGAGCTGTCTTTGGACTAGCTCACAGAGGATGTGGGGGCGCTTGGGGCTGTTTCTGGTTCTGGCACCTTGGCCTCGGTGGCTCGTTCATCGGCTACCGGGCTGAAGCTTTTCGCCCCGATCTTGCGGGATGTGGGTTGCGCTGTTTTATGCTTCCCAGCTCGCGTGTCAGCAGCCTGTGCTTGCCTCCTCTCTGGAATCCGCTTGGGCCTTGGCTCTTAGGATATCTTCGCCCTTTTGCCCTCTCCTGTTTGAGGTGTCCGCCATTGCATAGTATATTCAGGCTGCTTCGGCTTCTTGCTGTCCTATGTTGGACTTGCTGGTTCTCAGAGAGTCTTGTGGTGGGCCTTCCCGGAAGGGTCGTGCTAACGCTCGGGGTTCCTCTCATCGTGGTAGGGCAATGGTGTTGGGTTCAACCCCTCTTTCGGATCTGCCTTTGTCTGGTCAGCGCAGTGTTTGCTTTGTGCAAGGTTCTGGATCTCGTAGGGGGCACCGGCCTTTCCGCGGTTCGCCCCATTGACGGGGTGATGGGGGGAGGCTTGCAGTGTTCCCTCACGCCTGGTCCCACGATACGTGGGCTTTTCGGGTCTTTTCGCACAATCTCGGGTGGTTCGGGGCAGGCCTCTTCCCCTGTGCTGTCAGGTTGTCTTGGAGTGGGTTCACTTGGGGGTGGTCGAAACTACGACATCCCTCAGATGGGCTTCCCGTTTGTTTTCGGTCCCGAAACGGGACTGCCTGGACCTGCGGTTCATTCTGGACTTGTCCCGTCTGAACCCCTGGGTTCATTGCCCCTCCTTTTGGATGACTACACTGTCCCAGGTTTGGCTCCTGTTGGAGCTGGGTGCTTGGATGGTGTTCCTGGACCTCCTGGACGCTTATTGGCATGTCCCGATTCATCCTGGGTTCAGGGACTGGCTCAGTTTTGTTGTAGGGCATCAAGGTTGCCATTTTTGTTGTCTCCCGTTTGGGTTGAACCTGGCACCTCGCGTGTTCACAAGCCTTACACGGGTCGTGGTGGCCTGTCTACGTCTGTTAAGTGTTCCTCTTGCCTGCTGGCTAGGGATTTGTTCTTTCTCACCTCGCCAGGTTCGGGTTCTTGGTGAACTGGAGGAAGTCCCATCTGATTCCCTCCTAGGTTCGGACATGGCTGGGCCTTGTGTGGGACTCTCGGACCGCTTGCTTGTCACTTCCTCTGGACGGTCCTGCCTGTGCCTGTTTCTGGGGGGCTTCCCGGGTCACCTGAAGTTTGCTCGAGGGTCTGTGTGTGGGAGCCTGAACTTCGCGATGCTGGTCTACCCGCTGAGTCGGATTTGGCTTTGTCGGCTGTTCTGGTTACTTCGGGGACGTCCCTTCCGCCTCTCTCACTATCGCTGGGTTCGGACCCCGGGGGCCTTGCGTCAGTTGCTGCTTCGCCGGCTTCCTCTTCGGGTTTTTGGGGTTCAGTGCCTTGGCGCCTGCCCGAGCTCTCGCTCGATGTGTTCACGGACACATCGTCTTTTGGCTGGGGCTTTGTGACCAGAGCTCACCAGGCCAGCCAGGGCCGGGGGGGGGTCCGTCTTTCCGTCGAGCCCACAGCACTGTACGGGAATACGCGGCGGTGTAGTTTGCTCTTCGGAAGCATTGGGTTGCCTGCGGATTGACGATCTGGCTCCATTCGGACTGCTCCCCAGAGGTTCATTGTCTGAATTAGGGGGGTTTGATTCGGTCCTTTGCTCTTTTGCACTGGTTGCTTCGGATGACTAGTCTGCCAAGTTCTCGGGGTTTGGCTCTCCTGGCAGTTCATGTGCGGGGAGTGTCCAACATCTTGGCCGACGGCCTGTCTCGTTTTGTTCCCCTCTCCACGGAATAGACGGTCTACGCTGACTTCTTCCGTTGGCT